CCCCAAAACCCCAAAACCCCAAAACCCCAAAACCCCAAAACCCCAAAACCCCGACTTTGATTTAGCAAATTGAATTTATCTAGATCTGATCTTAAAGATGGGCTCAATCAAGGATCCTGCACCAAATCCGGCTCCGTCATTATTCAATAGGTCTTCGTCAACATCAAATTCGTAGTTAGAAAGCATGTAGGTCAATACAATTTTGATCTTGAGAATTGCAAGGGTCTGTCCTGGACAAGCTCTCTTTCCGTGTCCAAAGCTTCTACGAGAGTAAGTATGAGGCTTCTTTCCTTCCTCAAGAGATTTCTTGTAATACTCTGAATCTGGATCGTGTCTCTCTGGGATGTACTCCTTTGGATTCAACCAATCATTCTGGTTATAATGTCCAGCGTAGAGATCAAGCTTTACATAGGTACCTTTTGGAATTGGAACATCACAAATTGTGATATCGTCATAAGTGTAATAGTTGAACACTTCAACGACTGGGGAATCAATTCTAAGTCCTTCTTTAATGGCATTTGGGAGATACTCCAAAGTAAGAATGTCATCAACATTCAGTTTTGAGAAGTCAAAGTCTGGGCCAAATCCATGCTTCTCAAGATCTTCCATAACAAGTTCAAGCTTCTCAGGGTTTTTCTTTAAGTAATATAAGATAGAAATAATGGTTCTTGAGGTTGTCTCAGTTCCAGCAACAACAATTGTCACTAAATCCTCATACATCTCTTCAAAGGTATATTCTTCAAGTTTGAAGACTTGCTTGGCTACTGAAGTCTCATCAACGCATGCTTCGATAAGCTTATCGAACCAGAGGTAAAGTACATCCTTGTTCTTCCAGTCTCTTTTGTATGGATTGATGACATTGTATCTATACTCAAGTTCAATATTTGGTTAGCAGACAAACTTTTTGTGATAAATAAAGAGTGAAAAACCTGATTTGTTAACTAACTACATTTTCCTTTGATGTCAAATTTTAATTACGACGATTGGTAAAGTTAAGAAAGAGGATAGGCTTTGCAGGTTAATAGCTAAGATCAGTCACTCCAAGGTAACTCCTCATCTCAGGCAAGAGCAAGCCCTTGCCTGAGATTTTCTTTCTTTTTGTATCAGAAAAGGAATCATACATCTTATGTTGTGTATTTAATAGATAAAGTAGTATGTATAAATCCAGAAAACTCTGAAAAAGCAGAGCCAGAGAGACGATATGATGTTTGTTAACAAATTAAGTTTTCGCTTCAAAACTAGCAACTTACTTGTTCAAGTATGGGAAGAGAGTAGTGCATGGGTTGAAGTTTTGTAGCACATGACTGTTGGTGACTCTGATAAGGAATTCGCAGAAGTTAACTTGCTCAATACTGTTGTCTGGGTTGATGTATCCTCTAGTCTCAGCAAGCACTGGCATTACTTCTTTACCGTAGAGAACATTCATGAACATGTTGAAGATGATGTTGTTCATCTTGATTCCAAAGTTGCTATACTTATCTTTCTCAATAGTATCAAAGAATTCAGAGCATCTTGCGATCATTCCTGGGATCATCAAGGAAGCTTTGTTGAGGTTCAACAAATTAGTGAAGAGCTTCCTTCTCTCGAAGGTCTTCTTGGTGGTCTGAGCATTAATGAATCCATGAGGGACACACTTGGTAATTCCTCTGTACTCAATGATGTTGTCAATCTTTGTTGGCTGGTAGGCTACAAACTCCTCAATAGCTTTGTTGGAGATTATTTGAAGGACACAGTTGATTCCCTCATTTCTAACCTTGAGGTCATGCTTGTTCCAATCATCAGCATAGTCAAGTTTATGCTTGTAATGAGCTCTGTTGTTCTTCATATCATTTAGATGATACCAAAGATCTCCAAAGATGGGAATAAAGTAAGGATAAGTGTACACATTCTTGTAGCTTCTGTACTTCAGCCAGAACAGGAATGGTTTAAGGATTGCCAAGTATCCAAGATAAACCACATAGGCTATCAGGAAGTAAAGACTGTAAAGCAAGATGGTGGAAAACATCTTTGAAATTAATTATTTTATGAGATTCATCCCTTTGGAGCCTATATGGGGTTTTGGGGTTTTGGGGTTTTGGGGTTTTGGGG